CAAATACAGGGAAGGTTAGCGACCTGAAGGAACTTCATACTCACCTGTCCGTGATAGTTGACTGTGTGCCACTCATTGGGGCCCTTGGCGAGAGGTCTTTTTATCCAACTTGCATTTTACAGTAACACCTCCACACCCCACCCCCAGTGCTCTGGGATCAGGCTCAATTTCGGCAGGGACACAAAAGTCCAACTCAAAACTCCATTCAGTCATCTAGAACATCCGACTGCAAGGGGTCAAGGAAAGGGGATGCGGGTTGAAGCAAAACAAGTTATCTCCCCAAACAAACCGAGCAAGTCGGCCACAGGCGAGTTCTAGAACTAGGAATGATCTTCAGCAAGGCACGAGGGGAAAAACTTCGTCAGAGGGAAGTCGCGAGGCTTGGGACGGGAACTCCGATTCCTCCGGGGCTGTGGTGGGGACGGGCGTCGCCTCCTGTCCCGAGTCGGCGGGGCCCGGCCCTCGGGTCCCCGCTCTATCTGGGGCTGCCGGCCGCTCGTGGCCGCAGCCTCCGCCGCGTCTCGCGCCGTCCTGCGACGGGCTCGCACCGCCCCATGTCCCCGGGCCGGGGCCCTGAGCTGCTCCGCGCCGCCCCCACCCGGCACCGGCCGCCGCGCTGACAGGGACCCTGTCTCAGCTCCGCCGGCAGCTCCCCATCCCTCGGAGACCCCGCGCTTCTTCCGCAGTGTCTCGACGGCTCCTCCCCGACGCTCTGGTAGGCGGCGGCTCCCGCGAGGAGCGGGAGGGCCCGGCCCGGCCCGGAAGCCCGGCCCCCGAGAAGCGGCGGCGGCGGCGGCGGCGGCGGCTGCTCCGCGCGGAGGGCCGCTCGCCGGGTCCTCTGGAGCACTGGCGGGAGCGCGCACGGAGGAGGGGGGCGGCCGGCGGGGACGGGCCCAGCGATCACTGCGGGCGCGCGCGGGGGTTCCGGTTCCGGCTCTGTCTCCTCGGCCCGGCGCGGCTGGAGCGCGCCGAGCCGTCCCCTCCCCCGCCGACTTTTTGGGCCCTTCTCCCTGGGACTTCGGGAAGCCGCTTCACCCGGGATCCCTCCGCTCAGGACGCTCCAAAACTTGCGAGGATCCTTCCGCGCAACGCTGTCAAGGGGGTTGGCGGGAGTATAAAGTAGTTCGGTGGAACAGAAGGAAGCTGCTTCTCTCTCCGCCGCCCGCCGCTGTCCTCACTGCCCCTGAATGCTCTCGAGGTGCAGTCCAGAGTGTAGGTTCCACCCGGGACAGCAGACAAGCCATTCCCTAGTCCCGGAGTTCACATCTAGAGGGTCTTCGGGGAATTCCCCGCCTCTCTTGTGCTGGAAACTTTTATTCTTTAAGGGAATGTACTCGTTCCCGATGTCAAATGCTTTTGATGGCCGGACACGAGCCCAAGTGCACGTGCCCCGGCAATGTTAGGCAAACCCGCACACAAACAGGTTTGGGAGTGGTCCACTCACCTGGGGCACCTGCTGGCCTTTCCTGCAGCTAGGGTTGGCCAGAAAAGACTGAGGAGAACGGAACTGGGCCCACAATGAAGCAAGGAGTTCTTGATATAAATATTGCTTTTAGGCTGCTTTGCCTTGGCAAAATGAACTGTATTATTTGCCAAATTGAGAAAGCATGGTGCTTTCCACAGCAAGTTAATAAGCTTGTTGTGAAAAGAGATGGGAGAAGAAATACATCTGTCCAGTAAACAGCATTAGGGATCCCTTTGAAGAGTTCCCAAATGTTGTTTTCTGGTTTCTTTTTCAATGGGGCTGAGGCATTCTGCTACCCATGCAGTGTTATGACTAATTCTGTCCCTGAAGAAATGAAGTATCACGCACGACACAATATAGCTCTCCAATTCTGCCTGCAAACATCAAGTGGCTATTCCTTTTATACAATTATCTTTAAACTTCCGAGCTTCAAGCCGTATCGGTGGGAAGAGACTTCGGCCATTTTGTGGAAATCGAATCTAATAAACAGTGCATGTGGAGAGGAAACAGTTGCCTCTTAATAATGATGTTTCCAAGTCATTCCACAACAGTTCGTGAAAGGATCATTATCCCTGAATAGATTCATGAGCTCAAGGTGACGTTAGAATAGGGTACAAATGGGGGGGGGGGAGATAAACAGACGCCTGAAATGACTCTCTGGCTGTATTTTTTTTTTTTTTAATTCGGGGCACAGCCAGCTAATTTTGTAATGTTTATTTTTGGAAAGAATAGAAGCAGATTCAAGTTCCAAGCCACTTTCCTAAGGATCAGACCTGGACACGTTGCCATCTGCTGGTAAATCCCAACATGGCAATTCTCTTCTGAAGGCCCCACTTGTTTCTAACAGCTGGAAAAGAGTTCCATAAATCCATATACAATAAGCAAAATGCAAACCTTATCCCCAGGCTTACTCAAGTTGTCCTGAGTGTACTTGTTCTAATGGTGTTACAAGGCAACTATCAAATGAATGGAGTCTGATGACTCATCAAATCATGAATTTTAAAAATAAGTTCCCATCTTCCTTTCCAGTCTGCCTCAATGCTTAAGTTTCAGGAATAAAACAATCTGGGAACGTTTCCTAATTCACCTTCTCTTCCTTGCATACAAAACCTTTTGGCAAACTGCTTTCAGCGTCTTTCCAAATTTAACAACCCCAAGGTTCTAGCTGTGAGCAAAGAAGGCATTTTGCTGTGGGAAAGCCTCAGTTGATGGGCATCAAAGGACTGAATAACCAGTGGCTATTCACTCCAGAACTACTGTTTCAATTATGAAAATCTCTAATCACTCGAAAGGCATTGATTCTACTTAAATATCCTGATTTAAAAAATATCCTGATAAATGCCTTATTATAGCTGTTGGCTGCTCCACTGTCCTAAAAAATATCTACCTATAGAACACACTCAGCAGGGTCGAGCAAACCAAGGCCTGCTCCCTAGGTCATACATAGCCCTTTACCTAGGAGTACCAGTGACTCAGTCACCAGACACGCAGTTTTCTGATGAGACTTCCTCTAAGCCACATTTGTCCTCTTATCTATCATTTCAGTGTACTTACTAAGGACTGTGTCCAGGACTGATCTAAATAATAGAAACTCAGTAGCTTACATCTCTAATCCCAGCATGTGGGAGGCTGAGGCAGTAGGATTACTTTGAGTTTGGAGGCAGTCTACACAGTGAGTTTCAGGCCAGCGCATGCTACAGAGTGAGGCCCTGTCACAAAAAAAAGAGGGGCAGGGGCATAGCTCGGTGGTAGAATGCTTGCCTAGCACACCTGAAGCCGAGGAGTGGGAGGGGGGGCAACAACTGCTCAAACAGGTGGCAAATCATAAAGAAATTCTTCCTCTTTAGGCAAACTATTTTCTGTGTGCTGATTGCTATCTTCCATATAAAAGTAGGAATGGTTAATGCCAAAGAGCAGATTACTGTCACCACGAAGTATGAATGGATGTCAACATTTCTACAAGACAAAGGCTGTTTTTCTTGGCAAAGCCACAACAAAGATACAAAGGCAGACTCTGGGTCTATAAAAAGTTACTTTATTTTTATAAAACTTAGTACAAATTGTATGGAAATATAAATCCTTCTTGAGCAATATCAGTGATGATTACACAGTAATTCAAATGCAAGTATTTCTTTTTGACTGGAGACACATCACACACTAATGTGCCCTTCATTTACCTGTGTTGTAAAAACAGGCAACCTGTTAACTGCTGAGTCATCTTCACATTGTTTTCTAAGAGAAATGCCTTCATGGTTACTAGTTAGAACATCAAGAAAAGCTGGAATGCAGAATTCCTCCCCCCCCCATCACTTGTTCAGGTGCCTTCTTATCAGAAAGAATAAATAAATAACCTTCCCTTGAGCTTGCCTCCAACAGGAAGATCTACAATCTTCCTCTGAGGGGTAAGGGAGAAAAGAGCCAGTATTAGATTAAGCCTGCTTACTTGTCTGGTCTGCAGCAAGTTGCACAGTGCCAAAAGAAAAAGCCGGTTTGGTTTTGTTTTTCCTTTCTGCTCATGTGCCAAGCCACTCTTTGACTACACTTTTGCTGAAATCAGCATTCCCCAGGTTCCAATTCTGTTCACAGTTTTGCTGGAAAGAAGCACACTGGCATGTCTGGGACACAAATCATAGAAAATGGGGCATGGTGATATCTTTCCAGAAAACAACAAATGCCCAAGAGCCAAAAGCAAACCCTTTAACTACACAGCAGTCACCTTAAAGGCCCCACTGTTAAAGTACCTTTCTATCTGCAAGGATGTCTACATGTTTCCAACCTCTCCCCCAATGACTGCTTTCTGTAGCCCATACCATCTGTAGTCACTGGGTCAGTGTCACCAGGGACTATAGAATGAACTGACACTACTTGCTGACTATCAGTCAACCTTGCTTCAGTAGCTCCATTTCCTGGCTTACCAACTGAATTAGCCAATCACCACTGATCTAAGTAACAGTAAAAATAGCAAATACATAAACAAATAATACTTTTTTTTCATTAAAGCTACATTAGAGCCAGGCATGGTGACACAGGATTGTAATCTTATGTAATCTTAGCACTGAGGAGACATAAGCAGGGGGACAGATTTCAATGCTAGCCTGAGCTATACAAGCAAGACCATATCTCAGGAGAGGTGGGAAAAAGTGATTTTTTTAAAAAAAGGAATGTATCTGCAACAAGAAAAAGGAAGAAAGTAGGATGAAAAGGAAGAAGGAAGGAAGGAAGGAAAAAAGGAAGGAAGGAAGGAAAGAAAGAAGGAGCCTCATCACCCTGAGGCTAATACGTACATTGAAATCTTTGGTTCTAGTTTGCAGTGTGTACCAGGAGCTGAAACCTGAACTCCATCTCAAGTACAGTGGAATCCACATGGTAAATCCCCATGGAATTTAGCCATGGCCTCTCATGCCTAGCCGATTAATTCACAAAAGCCCTGAGAACTGGCATATTTTTCCTGGTAGGGCAGAACCCGCACAACAGGACTAAGTAAATCTAAATCTACCCACACTTCATTCATCTTGCATCCAAAGCATTAGCTCTGTGTTTTTTTGTGCACACAAGAGTTAACATAGCAAGCCTAAACTGCTTGTTATCCTTGCAAAGGCCTGCTTCCATGTTGGCCCTTGGCTGGCACCTACAAACTGCAACTTAGGGAGGTCTCCCACCTGAAACTGTTAAGATTGGCTCACTACTCCCAGACTGTTTCTGAAACAATATGGCTTATGCCGAATGCCTGCTGTGGAGAATCATAAATTTTGCCTTGTGGCTCAGTAGATGCCTACATGACCTATTGCCAGTAAAAGCTCTAGGTACCAAGTCTTTGATGACTTTTATGTGTGTTATCATGAATCACTCCTATATATCCAAATAAAACTCATACTTAGATCCCATAGGCTTCCTTTTCCTTTTGCTGAGTCTTCCCTGTATCCTTTCATTGTCATAAATCAAAGCCGTGAGACTATATGCTAAGCCCTGAGTCTTCCTGATGAATCATGGAACCCAAGAGTGTCCTTGGGAACCTCTGACACAGTCAGAGTAGGGAGGCTCAATGGGCAGTCCCTGCCATTGCTAGTTTCACTCCCATCCTTCTGTCCCTCTGCACAACAGATCCCATTCACAGATGCTTGAATGTCAAATCCATGCCCCTTCCTGCAAGTCCCTTCCTTTATAGCACGTGGGCTGAACATATTTAAAATGTCTACAGGAACTCAGGAGTTATTTCCAAAGGAACAAGAGACAGCACTGATTTGATTCAAGTTCTTTTCAAAGCTGGCTGAAAATCTATCAGACCTCCCATGAATACGGGGACCCTAAAACAAGTGGCAATGGTCCTCCCTATACAAAGCCACTTGCCAGTTGCCACTGAGGATGCACAAGTGCCACTGTAGGAGTGAGTGTTTCAATACTGCATATGCTTAGTTTGGAAACTGACTAAAGAGATGGATACATTTAGCCCTTTTTTCAAAACCTAAGTACCTTATAGCTCTTGAGCACTATAAGCTCAGTTCTGTTTCTGACCCTGGTTCCATGGCCAATTCAAACCAGTCCATTTACCAGGTGCAAGCCTTGGCTAGAGTGCCTTGAGATGCCCATTATGTCTTAGCTGTCGCTCCTCATTCCTCCTGCTTCTCCATGCATGGTACTTCTTGATGCTTTTCTTCCATGCAAAGCGCCAGATGCTAACCATAAAGCACCAAGACACAGCATACATTGCTATTCCCCCAACCTTCACAAACCACTTGGGTGTGGGTGAGACCATTTCACAGAAAAGGAGGTGAGCACCTACACCAATCCTCACACCAGTGAACAGAGCTACAAAAAGGAAGTCTACCACATCTCCAGTGAAAGTGTGGTAGTGCCCAGTTTCACGGAGAAACCAACGCATCTGGAGCAACGGGTTGGTGATCTCACTTCCAAAGAGGACCGCGTTGACCTCTGTGCCCGACTCCCCAAGCGCTAGGGCCATGATGATCCCCAAGATGCTCAATGTGTGGTGAGCCAGCATCAGGGCACCCTCAGACTGGAAATAGATGCACCAGCCTAAGTCGAAGATGAAGTAGCCCAAAGTAAGACACAGAATGTGAACTTGGAGAGGTGTGTTCGGTGAGCCTGAAACAAACCAAGATAGAAAAAGACAATATGGCTGGGAACTGGGCCACCTGTATAGGAATCCTCTGCCATTGTCTTTCAAACCTTTCTGAACCACTAAAGAGGACACAAGCAATGACAGACACAAGTTCTTTCTGGTTTTGTTTTGGTTAGGGTTTCTCTGTGTAGCCCTGGCTGCCCTAGAACCCACTCTAGAGACCAGGCTGGCCTCGAACTCAGATCCACCTGCTTCTGCCTCCTGAGTTCTGGGATTGAAGATGTGCACCACCACCTCCTGGCATAAGCTTTAAAAATGATAACAATGAAAGAAAACCGAAAATCTACCCTTACTTACAATCCCAGCATTTGGATAGTAGAAGGGGGATCAGGGCGTGGCAACCTTGACTACACAGGGAGGGAAGGAGGGCCAGCCTGGGCTTCATGAGAACCTTTCTCAAAAGACAAACCTAAAGTCTAAAACTATGATCTTTCTTGCTTTTTTTTTTTTTTTTTTTTTTTTTTTTCTTTTTGAGACATGGTCTTCCTAGTACTTGCCCTTAGCTAAGGCTGGCCTGGGTATTTTAGCAATCTCCCTGGTTTAGCCTCCAAGGGTGTGGATCACAGACAAGGGCTACAGAGTAAACTATAAGGCAAGCCTGGGTAATAAGAACCTGTCTAAAAACAATATCAGGAAAAACAATAAAACCTCAAAGACTTCAATGAGTGGTTTGACTTTTAATCAGTGTTCTTCCTGTGGAAGAACATAAAATAGTTATTTTGTTGATTCAATGAAATGAATGTTCTGACTCCCTCCCTTTTAACCAGCTAAAGGTCTGTTCCTAGATTCTTGGGTCACTGTCATATACATCAAATTCATTTTTTTTCTTTTCTTTCTTTCTTTCTTTCTTTCTTTTTTTTTTTTTCCAAGACAGGGTTTCTCTATGTGGCCTTGACTAACCTGAAACAGTCGGTAAACCAGGTTGGCCTTAAACTCTGAGATCCACCTGCCTCTTCTTCCCAAGTGCTAGGATTAAAGGTGTGCACCACCAACACCCAGCTCAGATTCATTGATTAACCTAGAGGATTGGGTTACTGGACACTGGCAATTCTAACACATCCTGAAAGCAGACTCCAGAGAAAACTCCCAAAGTCCAATGACATGAGGTACGATGACCTGACATATTTAAAATCATTAAGAATCTTCAAATAAGACACAAAACTGGAGAATTTATTTCATTTCAGTTTGATAGAAAGATTAGAAATTTCAGGACAAAAACTGCCTCAAAAAAAAAAAAAAATCAATAACAGGGGCTGGAGAGATGGCTCAGTGGTTAAGAGCACTGACTGCTTCAGAAGGACCTGGTTTCAATTGCCAGCACCCTCATGGCAGCCCACAACTATTTGTAACTCCAGTTCCAGGGGATCTGACACCAATGCACATAATTAAAAAAAAAATCAACAACAAAGTCACAAGGGCCCATAATCCCAGTTACTTGGCAGGCTGAGGCAGGAGGATCATAAATTCAAGACCAGCTTTGACTACCAAGTGAGTGGCCAGATATATATATATATATATATATATATATATATATATATATATATATATGGGAGGGAGAGCAGGAAGACACAGCCCAGTGCCTAACATGTTATAGCCCTAGATTCTATCCCCAATCCCCAGCACCACAAAAAGGCAAAAAAAAAAAAAAAAAAAAAAAAAAAAAAAAAAAAAAAAAAGAAAGAACCCCAATAGCACAAAAGAGTTGTGAAAAGCAGCAGAAGCCAGAAGATGACATACACAATATCAAAGTTAACAATGAAGACTGCAATACAAATTATTAAGATGGAAATAACTCAATATTATACAAATCTATTTTCTTCAAGTCCCCCAAATCATAAATCCCTAAGGAAAAATCTCTAATGTCCCCTCTACCTACCTGGATGGGTAAAAGGCCAAGGGCCATCAATGAAGCCGATGTAAGCAGACAGGCCTATAGAGAGGACTCCGTGAGTGAAGGTCACCAGCCGGCAGCTCCACTCATAGCTTCGGTGCTTATTCAGGCGGCAGAAAGATGTATAGAGTGAGAGCCAGCCACCCAGGCTGCACAGCACCTGCAGACACAGACCTAATGCCATCCTATGACAGAAGAGACCAAGACCAGGAAAACAAAGGATGTACCCTAAGAAAATAGCAGCGGGTCATTTTGTGCATATGCCGGAATTGCTACCATAAAATAATATGAAGGCAGGACCTTTACTGACATTCGTTACTATATGTGTATGCAAGACTCTTGTACATAAATGTGGCTGCTATATTTATGACTGCAAGCCCCCTAGAGATACTGTGTCGGCACCTGATGTCCTGGAAACCAGGAACAGCCGTCTGAATTATCAAGCTAACTCCATACTTAATGAATGAGCCAATGCCAATAATAACCTTTCAGAGATCCCACTTCACAAATCCCAGCACTCCCCAGGCTACTCAAGAGGCTGAATTAGGAGGATGTCAAGTTTGAAGTCAGCTTGATCTACACAGCAGGTTCAAGTACAGGTTGGACTATTTGCAGAAGCCATGCCTCAAAACAGAATGAAAAAGTACTAGGGGTATGGCTCAGTGGTAGAGCACTTGCCTTTCATGTGTGTAGGGCACTTGGCTCTCATGTTTGAAGCCTTGAGTACAATTCCCAGTATCAGACACAATGAGAAAGGGGAGTGAAGACAGTTCAGTTGGTAAACATGAGAATCTGAGTTTGAGTCCCAGATCTACATAAAAAGCCAAGCATGGCAGTGCATGCTAGTGCTGGGGGGATGAAGAAGATGATTTCCTATTGAGAAACTCTATCTCAAAAAGCAAGGTAATCCGGGACAGAGGAATACCCACCAGAGGTTGGCCTCTGGCCTCCACATATGCAGGCACCCATGTGTGTGTGTGTGTGTGTGTGTGTGTGTGTGTGTGTGTTGTAAGCACACTGCAGCACACAGAGGCAAAGCTCTCATAAAAATAATAATAAAGTAAATAAACAAAATACCACTTTGGTTTCTGCTAGAAGTCACATGATACCAGGCATTTTAATGTGGTTAAGCTGAAACTACATTTGGCTGAGATCTGGATTTGGGTCATAGGTTTATCAGTCAAAATCAAAACTTGAGGCAAATGTAAATAGAGAGCCAAACAAAGAGTCCAGACCTCTTGGAAGGTATCCCAACTCTACCATTTATCAACAAGGAAGCAAAAGGATTGTAAAGTAAATGTTGAGATACAAAAATATCCTTAAGGCAATTACTCAGTTAAAAGTGAAGCAATGTAGCTGGTGGGTGCCTATAATCCTAGGACTAGGGCAGCAGAGGCAGGAGGATAACCTAGAGTAGGGGCTCAGCCTGGTCAACAAGGCTGCACAGAAAGACCTTGTCTCAAAATGATGGATGGATGGATGGATGGATGGATGGATGGATAGAGAGAGAGAGAGAGATAGTGAAGACAAAAAAAACTTATATTTTTTAAAAATTTTTGCTGATACATTTACACAAGCATACTCAACACTGAGCTACTTTAGTCATACAAAAGTAGACTCCAAAAAGGACTAAGATGTCATTGTTAATATACACTAGCTCATCTGTTGAAAGTGCATATAAAGTGGGCGGAAGTGGTGCTCGCCTTTAATTCCCAGCACTGGGGAGGCAGAGGCAGGCAGATCTCTGTGAATTTGAGGCCAGCCTGGTCTACAGAGTGAGTTCCAAGACAGTCGCCAATGCTACAGAGAAACCCTGTCTCAAAAAAAAAAAAAAAAAAAAAAAAAAAAAAAAAAGTACAAATAAAAAAGAAATACCAAACACTTCAGCTACGTGTCTCATGTCTCCGGGAATTCTCTGCATGGCTGCACTTTAACCGCTCACCCTTTTCTGACAAATGCAGACCAACACCCCTCAATGCACGAGCCACTCCTAGGAATGCGATCCAGCGAGGGCTTTGGCAAAGGGCAAGTTTGGTCCACCTTTCGTAAGAAATCAAGTTCCCATTCAAGAAAACAGTAGGTGTCCATCAGAAACCTATAAGTGGGAAAAATCATTTTAACCTAAAGAATGTGTCTAAAATTAGGGAACAGAAAAAGGGCGGAAAAAAAATAAAAAAATAAAGGTCACTTCAGTTCTGAGACACATTTTCTGAAACTTCTAAGCCAATCTTCAGAGTAAGAGCCAGACATACAAAGTACCCGAGTGAAAAGCGCTGTCCCTCTTACTTCCTTTAAAAGGCCAGGGTCACTGGCCAGTAAGGAGGATCAGCTGATTGGGACTCAGCGATTAGTATTTTTAGAGTCCTCTTCTCTGAATCCTAATTCCCTGGCCCAGGAGAAGGAAACAGTAGCCCATTTACAAACACTCCAGTAAAAAGCAGGCATTTGTAAACGGCAGACGCAGCTCTGTGACCTTGAGCCTTGTGTCTGGTGTGGGGTCTGGGAGATTCCCAGGCCCTCTCAGCTCGGTGCCTGGGCTCCCCCATTCCGGAGAGCAGCGGCGCTGGGCGGGCGCCTGGCTCCAGGCCTCGGGCAAGCTCAGCCCGCGGCTCCGAGCTAGCTGCAAGATTGCATCCCACTCGGGGACGTGCCCCAAGGCCTCGACCACGCCCGGCGTCCAGCCCAGATCACCCCATCTTGGACCGTTATCTAGGCATCCAGCCGGGTGCCCAGAGCTTGGCGCAGAGAGGCCCCGGCGCCCCGGGGCAAAGGAGCCCGAGCGTACCTGGCCGCCCGCCCGCCCGCCTCCGTCCCCGCCTGCGCCAAAGGCAGGCCAGTACCCATCCCTCCGGCTAGCGCTGTTACCTGGCCGAGCGCACCGGGAAGCCTCAGGCGCCCGGGCGCCCACAGCCCAGGGCCCGGATCGCGCCAACTGCAGGAAGCTGCAGAGGGAGGGGGAGACGAGGTTGTGACGGTGGCGGCGGAGGAGGAGCCGGGGGTCTAGGGGCACCTGCTGGCTGGGAGGACAGAACGCAGAGTGGATGCTGGGCCAAGGAAGGGAGTGGGATGGAGGGCCCTACTTTGGGCAGGGAAGAGAAGGGTGCTCTGTTATGCTTCTTTGTTGGTCTGTTTAAATCACCTTGGGGCTGTGAATGTAGTGTCTGGCTGGCTTTCTAGTGGTAGAACATTTGCCTAACATGGTGAGGCCCTGGATTCAACCTCCAATACCTCACTAAGCATTTACTGAGCACCTGCTAAGCACGCACAACCTACAATATCCTATGGGTGATGCAAGAGCCCTCTTTGATCTCCTGCTTAAATCTGAGTGGTGAAACAAGCACACTGAGTGCTAGAAAAGTTCTTAGCCCTCGGAATTACATTGCTCTCTTTTTAGCAGTGCCCCTATCTGGGTGTAAACACGCAGTTTAAACGGAGCTGGAGAAATGGCTAAACAGTTTCGAGAGTCTTTGAAGCTCTTTGCACAGGACTGGTTCAGTTCCCAGCATCCATGTCAGACAGCTCACAACTGCCTCAAACTCTAGCTCCAAGGATCCGACGCCCTCTTCTGGCCTCTAGTAGCACCACACATGTGTGCACACGTGCAGACCCACACATACACATTTTTTTTTAAACATCAATTCTGCTTGGCATGCAGCTGGGCAAGTGAAGTTTATGCCACCTACCTCATCACAGAATGGGGAGAGTAACGCCTTTCTCAGATTATTGTGAAAAATTGAAAAGGTTACATTAATAAGTACATAGAGCGATGGGTGGCACGTAGAAATTCCTGTAAATACCATCTATTGTCTTTATTTAACTTTGGAGTATTTATTCCCCAATACTGGGATTAAACCAGAGGCCCTAATCATGCTAGGCAAATGCTTTACCACTGAGCTGTGTTCTCGGCCCTTTATTTTATTTTTGGACAAATTCTTGTTTCTCTCTGAGTCTGAGGAGAGTGAGTTTCAAGAAATATGAGTGTAATGTAGTGGTATATGCCTGTAATCCCAGCACTTGGGAGGCTGAGGCAGAAGGATTGTAAATTAAGAGGCTACCTGTATATTTTGTCTCAGAATTAAGGCACAGGCACAGACACAGCAAGTGGGGGTAGGGGTGTCAACTAGAACAATGGGATAGGGAAGGGAATGTCTGGCTTGTTGATGAAGGCTGACAATGTTGGGTGCTAAGGAGCACCATGTCTAGGGATTGTAAATGCTCTCATTTTGGTTTTTATTGAGTTAACCCTTCAAAGGCGAAAATGACACTTTTTTTCATCTGTTTCCCTAGAACCTACTATGGGACAGGTATAGTGGGTGTTGATTAAATTAATGAAAGAGTAAGTCATCTGGGATGGTTCACACCTGCCATCCCAGCATGAAGGAGGTGGAGGCAGGAAGATGAGGAACTCCATGTTATTCTCAGCTACACAGCAAAATCAGAGTGGGCTTTAGGAAACCTCTCAAAAGGAAGAGAAGCCTGGATTAACAGGAAACTATATTAGAAGCAGCACAGAGGACTTTCCATCTGCACTGTTTGGAAAGTGATTTCAAAACACACATATACAGAGTGCATCTTGAATTTTGTGATTCAGTAGGCCTGATATAGGGCAGGAATGAGTGTGTTTTAAAATCTGCCTGGGGGACAAGGCCTCATGTGGAGGGATTGGGACGCCAACCAGGCCACAAAACCTTCCACTACAGTTTGTCCTGCCTTCAGAGTGTTCTGGGACCAGAGCCTAGCAGAATCGTCATCAAAGAGACCAGAGAAACTTCATCCAGCAACTGTTGGAAGCAGATAAAGTCCCACAGCCAAACATTAGGCACAGATCAGAGGGTCAGGGACATCAAGAAAACATTGCCCACAGAATCAATTCCACAGGGACTCATGGGGGCTCGCAGAGATCAAGGAGCCTGTAAGGGTCTGACCTATGTCCTTTATATATATGTTATGGCTGATGTTCTTATGAGATTCCTAACTATGACAGCGGGGCAGTCACTGACTCTTTTGCCTGCTGTGCGACCCTTTTCCTACTACTAGGTTGCCTTGTCCAGCCTTGATGTCTTATTGTAGCATATTGTGACATGTTTGGTTGATGTTCCTGGAAGGCCTGCTCTTTCCTGAGGGGAAACAGAGGAGGGTGTGGATTTGGGGGAGAGGGAATGTGGGGAAGGAAACTGGGGGGAGTGGAGGGAGGAGAAACTGTGGGTCAGGTTGCAATATATGAGAGAATAAAAATAATAAAATCTCCCAGTAGTCATTCAGATGATAGCCACATTAAGAGCCACTCCTGTCAACGAGCCCCTTAGCTGTCTTGTTTGTTTTCAAGACAGGGTTTCTCTGTGTAACAGCCCTGGCTGTCCTAGTACTTACTTTGTAAACCAGGCTGGCCTCGATCTCACAGAGATCCACCTGCATCTGCGTCAGGAGTACTGGGATTAAAGGCATGCACCACCAGTACCTGTCAGACCTTCATTGGCTTGATGTTAGTTCCGGGTATCTAACCAGGATAGCAGCTAAGAGGAGGCCTTAGATGTTTTGAGCAAGGAAATTATGCTATGCTTTCCCAGCTTTTGCTGTTCAATGTGTGGTTTAGGAACTAGAGAAAGGTCACCAACAAAATATCATTAGACAAGCACTGGACATACTCAATGAACTATACATTTTAACAGTGATTCTCTGGCAGTACTGAAAATTGAACCCAGGGCCTTGGGAATACTAGGCAAGCATTCTACTACTGAGCTACTACTATATCCAAGCCTTGGACAATGATTCACAATCCCTCAAAATAGAATCATTTAAATAGCCATGCCAAGATCACACCCCAAAACAAGTAAAGCTGAATTATCAGTGTGACATCAAGTCACTGGTAGTTCCCCAGGGGTTCCAGAGGTTCTGGATAAAATCAGTGTGAGAGCAATTGAAGAAGATGTGTTAGAAAAGAACCAAACACAACTGCAGAGAGAAAAACATCAGTGATGCCTAACATTATTCTGCCATACTCATAGATTGGTACCTAGCCCAGTTGTCATCAGAGAGACTTCATCCAGCTACTGATAGAAAAGGTGCAGACCCATAGCCAAAATTAGGCTGTTTGGGTCTTTTCTACCAGTAAATGTTTGACATAAAATGTAGGTGTTTTGTGAGAATTTCTCTCCTGAAAAGGGGTCATGAGTCATGAGTAGAAAAGATTTACAAATCCCTAATTTAGAGAGAGAAAAAAAGGAATTCCATTTTTAAAAATTCCCTTTTCTTGTGTGCAGCAGTGTTTGAGACAAGGTAGACAAGGTGGCATTCTAGCCCAGGCTTGCGCTGAGTTCACAGTTGTAGCCAAGGTTAGCTTGGAACTCCTGATTCCTCCTGCCTCAGCCTTCTGAGTGTTGTGATTACAGGAATGTGTGGCCATACCTGGGTTTAAACCTCTTAAATGCCCTAGTGTGTGCAAGTAACAATACTAGCCATCAGAGACAAGAGAATAAAACAATCCAGGGGGACAGAGGAATCTCAGATATGCCAGAGGGTCCTGTGCCCAAACACCTGGTGGCCAAAAGCAGGTTCCCTGACTCAAATCACCCTGAATCTGACCCAAAGTTCTCACTTTGCCTTAGAAGTTGGGCATAGTGGTGCAGGCCTGTAATCCCAATACTTAAGAGGCAGAGACAGAAAGCTCAGTAACTTGGGATCATGCTGATCTGCATAGTGAGTTTCAAGCAAACCTGTGCCACAAGGGGCTCAACAAACAAAAGATCTGACAAAGTCTGAGCTACATTGGAGTACCAGGCCAGCTAAAGGCAAAACTCTACAGTAAATCACAGACAGAAGGAGAGTATAAAATAAGCAGCAGACACAATCTTTTCCTTTCTTTACCCTTCCACATTGGCTAGCGTTGCTCTCAGATGCTTGTCTCTTAGATACTCATAGAAGGCAAAGCAGCTAAAACAACTTTCTATTAAACTTCTTTGGAATTATGAATTCTTCAGCATCCTGCAGATGTGAATGTTGTGTCCATACCTGCCTGCAAATTTGATTATGCTCAGCAAATGTCCCAGTCAATGGGCAGTGGGAGCTACTAGAGGCCAAACAGGTATTCCACCCTTCTGGGTTTTTTTTTTTTTTTGTTTGTTTGTTTGTTTGTTTGTTTTTTGTTTTTTGTTTTTTTGGTTTTTTTTTTTTTTTTGGTTTTTTTGATGATGGTTTCTCTTTGTAACACTGGCTGGCATAGAACTCACCAAGCTAGCCTTTAACTTACAACAACCCACTTGTCTCTGCCTCCTAAGTGTGCCATGAATATTCTGTCTATTTTTTAAACAAAATGTGGATCAGTGGGTGAAAAAAGGAGTTTTGGATGGTGCCAGAGATTGTTTTCAATACCTATCTGGGCAGGATGTCAAAGTGGGCAGTGTTGGAGCAAGAAGGGGTCATCTCTGAGGTCAGAACACATGCATAAGTGCAGTGATAGGCACAGATATGCTTGTATGGCAGCATAATTTCTTTGGACACTTAAGTCACTGCTGCAGACTCCTTCTGCTGTCTCTTTGCTACATATCTAGCTTCCCACATGCACTTTGTTCTTTGAAACTGGGCCTCACTATGCTGCAAAGTCTAGCCTAGAACTCCTAGACTCAAGCAACCCTCATACCTCAGCCTTCTGTTTCTGATGAAGCCAGCAGGTATACACTAGTGTTCTCAGCTCACATTTTCACTACATCTTTTTTTCTTCCAAAAGTAAACCACCACCACCAAGACTTTCCCCCCCACTTTATATCACAAAACAGAAATCTGAATATGAACCCCATTCAAACACCAGGCACAACAGACTCTTGATGGTTTGCGTATAGCTTTCCCATGTGGATATTACTATTATTACCAGCAACACATGTTAAATCCTGAGATGGCTAATTTTGTCTTGAAAGTTGCCTGGGTTTTGAGACACCTGAAACATTGGCAAGGCACACCCCTGTCAACAGTGCTATTTCCAGATGAGGTCACAAGGGCTGTGGCCTAAGCAATGGACTAATCTTCTGATAGATTCATAATGTGATGGCATTAGTTGTGGGTGAGACCTACTTAGGGGAAGGTCTTTGAGGCTATCTAGCCATGGGTTCTTCCTGAAAACCTTTTATTGTTTCCCCTCTGCCATGCTGAGAATTACTTCCCTCTGCCATGTCCTTCCAGCTATGACAGATACCTCTGAAACCATAATCTAAAAGAAATCTTCCCTGCCTCAAGTTATCTATCAGGCATTTTGATCATGGTTACATAAAAGTAGCATAAATCCCCATTGTTGTTTCTCCTCACCAACTATAACCCCAAAAGGCCTTTCTTCCATACAGATCAATGTTTAAGAACTGCAACTATTTAAATTTTTGTTAAGCTGGATGACTAACTGTGGTGCCTCCCAGGCCCATGATCCTAGCACTTAGGAGGTTGAGGCAGAAGGATTACAATGAATTTAAGGTCAACCTGGCTAAATAATGAGCTTGAGGCCAGCCTGGGCTACAGAATGAGACCCTACCTCAAACCCAAAAAATAAAAAGATAAAAAATAAATCCTATCACCAATGAAAATTAACCTACTAAAATGCTCAATAATAGCTTCCCTATCCTTCAGTGTTCTCACTAGGTGGAAATGTCCTCCCAAGCCAATATATGTTGTCACGAAATTGTCCTCTGTGTTAAACAGCTTTTGCTTTCCATTGTATATAAGGACAACAGAGTAGTGGATATTTAGGATACACGAGATAGATCAGCCTTGGTTCCACCTCCTAAGTTTTCAAGTGACATGACATGACCTTAAATATTCACCATAGTTCCCTCTTATAAACTGGGGAACAATATCTCACTTACTCAGCTCCCAAAGTAGCTCTGTCCTGCAGATTAAGAACCTTGAGCAATTAGGGACCCTGTATTAATACAGGCCATCCCCAGTACCCACTTTATGTTCCAGATGGAATTATTTTGCCCCATCCCATTTCCATTATCTGTACTTACATTCTACCTCTCTCTCACACACACACACACAAAAGGCATGAAGCACTCCTCTGACCCGCTTCTTATTAACAGTGGAATAGTTTATGTCATTGCTATACAAATATATTTAGAAACAGAGAGATTCCCTTGAGTCTCAACAGTTTCCTGGATACTCAGTCTTTAAAAAAAAAAAAAAAAAAAAAAAAAAAAAAAGTTAGCATTTCTGGGATGGCTTCATGTGACAGCTTTACACACAGGCCCACAGAAGGAGACACCACATGGAATGTTCTCCCCCCACCCCCAAAGTCAGCAGAGCCCCAGCTCATGTGGGAACTCTATGGAAGTATTCCACACTTTGGTGTCCCCCCTCCTTTTCCAATAGAGGATAAAATATTACACAGATATTGTCAAAATTCACACCTGAGTTAGAGATTTTGCTGGAAAACTACACATTCAAGAGGAAAGGTCATAGTGTAGAACAGGAAAGGTCTATGTACAAGAGTATGGCCAGTGCCTCAGGTATGGCTTTCTCTCTCCCTCACCTTCCCTCCCTCTCCTGCTGTTTCCTCAATTTTCTGGGGCCAGGAGAAAGAAGAGGGGACAAGGCAAGGAGAAACACCGGGAGCAGAGAAAAGACAAGGATTCTTGAACTCAGGTAGATGTGGGTGGGCGTCGGAAGAGGGCCTGCAGATGGAGCAGCGTGGCCAGAGGGTGACTCTGCCATTTGTAGAGAGGACGGGACTTTTTGTTTTGTTTTGTTTTCCAAAACAGGGTTTCTCTGTAGCTTTGGGGGCTGTCCTAGAACTCACTCAGTAGACCAGGTTGGCCTCGAACTCACAGAGATCCATCTGCCCCTGCCTCCTGATGCCACCAATGTGCGCCACCAATGCCCGGCTGAGGGACTTTGTAGGGCACAAGAATGGAAGGATTTGATTACAGAAAAGGAAGTGAGGCAAAAATGAAAACCGTGCTAATTAAACAAAATAAGGCTTTGGGGGAGACATGAGATTTCAGTGTTTCCACAGAATTTGGGATCTGTTTGGAATTGTGGCTGAGGGCAGAATCCAAACCATGATCTACCATTCTTGCAGTTTGGCACACCAAGCAAACAGCTCTCCCCAGAAGCCCACAGGCCAGCTGAGGAATAACAATGGCACAATGCTCTTCTTCCAAGAGATGAAGCCACAGTGAAGCCATGGAAAACTTTAGAGCTGGGAAGTGGCTATAGGCAAGGCAGGCAAGCATGGTAACCTCCCAGCAGGATTATCAAGAGCCTAAGGCATCCATGTGGCCTTTAGCAAGGCATCATTATGGCCTTCAGTCACAGTTTGGTTCTCTGGAGTCTCTGGATCCCCAAGAAGGCAAGAATGTGGGTTTGCTCTTCAGCGGTGGCCATTTCTCCCACCTGTCCCCAAGTAGTCTGTCCATTCATGGAAGGCATGACCCCCCTTTGTCCTGGTGGGAACAAAGGGCCAGGTGGAATGGAAGGAAGTTTTTGGCCTCAGTGGAGGTAGGTGGGATGGTTCCAACGGTACCATGGTCTGGAAGGAAGAGGAAAACAGGCCAAGCCAGAGTTACAAACCTGATGGGGGAAGACCAGGAATGGGGAGGTGACAACTAACAGGCAGGCAGAGAGGTCCTTAAGGGGTGATGAAAACATTCTAGGATTAGATAACAGTGACGGTTGTTGTACAACCTTGTGGATTTTATGGCATGTCTTCAGTATTAAAGTCTCCTCAACCCCAGAAATTCTGAGTTTCCAGACTATGAAACATCTGGACAATAGAAGGTTCTTGCTGAACTGCCTGGATTTGGACAAGTGGATTCATCTCTTCCTACAAAGCTCAAGTGTGCAACTCAACACAAAGAAACCCTGTTTAAAACAGGCTACCTCCAAATTCACAATCCCCCTGCCTCAGCCTCCAGGTGTAGATGTCACCCTTTTGAGAAGGGTTCTTTCATTGGCTGGAGCTCAAAGAAGTCTTCCCTCCCTTCCACCCTAGCACAGGGATTATAAGCACACACTGCCACACCTGGCTTCTTTTCTTTCTTTTTTTTTTTTTTTTAAATGTAATTCTGGAGATCAGACTTAGTCCCCATGCTTTCCAGGCAAGCACTTCACCAATGGAACCATCTCCCTGGCCCCACCCCTCCGTCAAATCTGTTCCTCAGCACCAGGGAAGATCCTCAAGACATCCATTCTAAGAATACCTTTCCAGTAGTTTATTCAGCTTGTGAGCTAAGGCCCGTGAGCATGAGCGAGGGCCTGCCCTGCTGCCTCCCAGGTAGAACTGGGAGACACAACTCAGCAGCACCTTTCTGTCTCCCTGTTCTGGCTGCACCTGAAGGCCAGAGTTGGTCTATGCCTGAGCTCCAGGCTTGGGTCAGAATATTGTGTGACTCAAGTTCCTGGTGTGGAGTGCTCCGGAGCCCAGCTCTCGACCTGGTCCTTTGTCACATGAGCATTTGGAAATTTCCACCATCAAAGTGAGGATGGAAATGTTGGCTTTGTTGATATCAGCCCTTGCCAGGACTGCTCACTGGCTACAGCTTCTTTTTAAATTCTTACTCCCTGGGGATGCAGTCCAGTCTAGCTCTTCACTCTGTCCTCCCTCCTCCACCCCATCCCCCAATACTACCCCATTTCCCATTTCCAGTTCTGGTCTATGGCACTGGACCAACTCCTCACATGCCCCTGAGCCTGCCAGATGCTTCCTCATGGCCATCCACTTACCCTGAGGAGTTAAAGCCGGAGGAGGAGTTCATTGCTGCTTTGGAGTTATTTTGAGATGTTGTAGGACTGCTGGCATGGAGTCCTGAGCCAGGAGACGAAGGCCTGCTGTTGTTCCCAGGGGAACAGGATGACGTTACTAAGGACAAAGATAGACAAAAACAAGGCAAAATAATGCTTCTGGGTCTTGGGACCTTTGTGGCACGGCCCTTCCAACACATAATTTCCTGGTGTAATACCCCAAAGGGCACTTACCCTCTCCCTACCCCCACCTATTTTCCCACCTTCTACCATGTTAACATCAAGGCCCACCCATAAGCCCATCCTTGGTGGGGCTCTCAGCAGCCTAGGCCCTCAGAGCAGTATGGCTGGTTCTGTCAGTCTGAGACTTGCCAAATGCATGGAGGAGAGATGCCAAAATCATCCTACTGCGGGACACACCCTGGGCAGGAGGGGAGAAGAGGCATGGGGAGGAAGAATGCTGGAGAGCTGAGAGACCTCCAGAATCTCCCACTCTCTGACTCCACAATGAGAATGCTTGTGGTCCCCTTGAAGGAGACTCAAGCCTCATCTTGGCCCTGGTCCTGCCCTGATCCACCCTGAAAATCATTCTCATCTTCTGTAAAATGGTGGGTTTGAACTAAATAGATACCCCTCGTGTTTGGAATCCTAACATGTGTTTCATGGATAGAGTGCCATTTATTTTACTAGTCAAACTAAGATTAAAAAAAAAAAAAAGTAGAACATGCTGAGATTTATGTCAGCATTTAAGGCTTCTAGAGGGACAGCTGGACATAGTCTTTACTAGTTCTTTGAAATGCTACAGGTGCTTTGGAAAAAACAGAACTCTGGAAATGTGTTTGGAAACCTGTCTTCCTTCAGTTGTCTGTACAATTCATTTTGGAATGTATTATACCCTTGAGTGTTGAGCCATGCTGTAATTAAAATAAAAACAAACATTTGTTGACATTTTGCCTACCAACATTTTCCAAACTTAAGTGATCACAGAGTCCTTTTCTCCCAGCCCCGATTTTTAATGTCCATTGAGACATACTGAGTAAATGCTGACCCAGATTAAGTGCTTTTTAGGTGTTTTGTTTTGTTTGAAATAGGGTTTCTCTAGGTAGCTCTGACTGTCCTGGGACTTGTTCTGTAGACCAGGCTGGCCTGCAACACCTGCCTCTGTCTTCCAAATGCTGCCATTAAAGGTGTGTGCAACCACGCCTGGGTCCTTTCAGTTTTAATGTTATTTAGATTAATCCTTGTGGTGTCTGGAAACCTCTTTTGAAGCTCACCTGTTCCAGGCATGGTGCTATGGACAGGAGGGACGGAGAGGGCTCCCAGAGACCCTGAGGGAGAGACCTGCAAGGCAAGAGAGACTTGTGAATGTTCACGCTGCAGCCTTCTTCGTTCTGCCAGGACACTGGGTGAAAGGCTGCAGAGAGCCATTTGCCTTCTTTGCTAACCTTTGTAGGAAGACCTGTGAACTACATACAGCCATCAGGACCCACTTCCAGCCTACTGCAGGAAGCTCCCTGATGCTGACACATACCACTCCCCCTCCTGCTGGGGGCCCTGGCAAAGTTCCTCTGGTACTGCCAGGCTGAAGGTTTGTCACAGTGCCCTGGAGGAGAGAGGAGCAAGCCTTTGAGGCTCTTGCTCTGGCAGATGTTGCCAGCCATCTGCTCCATTTCTACTTTACATGTCTATAATCTTAGCACCTGGGATACTGAGGCAAAGGGACTGCTGTGAGTTTTGGGTCAACTAGGGATGCATAGCAAGACATGTCCAAAAAAAAAAAAAAAAGGAGGAGAAGGAGAAGGAGAAAGGCAGAGACTTAAAATACCAGAAGGAGTTGTTCAGGAGCTAAGGAGATAGCTTGGCTCAGTGAATAAAGTGCTTGCCTCTCAAGCAGGAGACTGGAGTTCAGCTCCCCAGTACTCACATGAAAGCTAGGTACAACAGTCTATAATCTCATGCTGGAAAGGAAAGACAAGATGATCCCTGGGGCTTGCTGATCAACCAGTGTGGCCAAACCAGGAAGCTCCGAGGTCAGTGAAAGACCCTATCTCAAAAAAATCAAGATGAAAAGCCAATGTTGACCTCTGGCCTACACACACACAAGTTTAACCTCCTAGTTCGAGAACCTGGCCCTCACTACGATTATCCTAGAACAAGAAATAAGGAGTGGACACATCTGGGTATGAGACGTGGCCCTGTCACCCACCATCTGCATGACTATGAGTAAGCTATCAACCTCAGGGAGGCTTGGTTTTTCTCATCTGTGAAACAGCAGCAGCACCTCCCTGATATTTCTTTTAATTAAGATTTAATGAGATAATGCCTATAAAGCTTCCAACCCTGTGGCTGGCAAAGAGCACCAGCTTGTTAAATGTTGCTTCCCTTGCTTCCCGAAGACTGCTGTTTATCTCTAGGTGCTTTCTTAGCTCCGCCTTTGAGCTGAGATCTGCATACACTTACTCCCTTTTCTTTTCTCATGTTGACCAGGAAGCTCTGACCAGCATTCCCACAGGATACTGACAAAGAGGCTCCACCTGGGGACCTGCCATCTTCTACCATCCTCCCCGAGGCTGGAACAGCCCCTCCAACAGGAAGTAGCATGTTCTCATTTCCTAGTTAATCAGAAATCCTTCTTGATGCTTCTGGGGCCTGGAGGGTAGAGGCAGGTGTGGGGCAGTTTGGGAGGTGTGGCAGAGTGATGAGAGATGTTATCAGTCATCTCCTTTCCTCTCCTCCCAGATGTCACACCCAAGAAATCTGTTGTTTTCAAATAAATAATGGTGTACGGGCAGTCACTGTGCTTAGCACCTTCCATTTCCAGCTAAAGACTATACATATGCAAACATGTACATATATGGTTCCTTTAAACATTTTTTTAAACATATGGTAGGAAAATGGTGCCAAGATGATCTATGCAATTAGTGTGTGTTATGTGTGTGTGTGTGTGTGTGTGTGTGTGTGTGTGTGTGTGTGTGTGACTACAGTGCCCATAGAGGCCAGAAGAGGGCATCAGATACCCTGGAGCTGGTAGATGTGAGCACAGGTGGGTATTGGAAACTCAACTCAGGTCCCCTGTAAGAGCAGTATGAACTCTTAACCACTGAACTATCTCTCCAGCTCCTAATAATTTATTTTCCTTACTTAGCCATCTTGAGGTTGCTTTGTATCAGAAACAAATGACACCAGTTTTCATTCCATCAAGACCAGAGGAAAAGACAGGATCATCCTATTCAGTCCTATCTTCTTCCTACATGGCATCTGGTGTGAAACTCTGTCTTCCAGGCATGCTGTGGCCATTACTATCTAGAAATGCTTATTTTTTTTAAAGATTTTATTTTATTTTTATTTTATGTGTATGGGTGTTTTGTCTTCACGTATATCTGTGCACCATGTGCATGCCTGGTGCCTGCAGAGGCTGGAAGTCAGCATAAAGTCCCCTGAACAGTTGTGAGTGAGCTATTACTTAGGTGCTGGGAATTGAACCCAGATTCCTCTGGAAGACAACTAGTACTGTTAATTGCTGAACCATCTCTCCAGCCCCACCCAGCCTGTAGATCTTTAACAGCCTTCTCAAAGGCTGTTCTTTTCACATACTGAACTACTCTTGCTTCTACACATTGTTCTTCAAGCAAATCATGGGCTCCCCACTTATTGCTGTCATGCTGACTTGAGTGTGTTTGTTTGTTTTTTAGTTTTTTGAGACAGGGTTTCTCTGTGTAGCCTTGTGTCCCGGAACTCGCTTTGTAGACCAGGCTGGCCTCAGACTCTGAGATCTACCTGCCTCTGTCTCCCAAGAGCAAGGATTAAAGTCATGACTGAGTGTCTTTTATCTGCATTCCCACAATGCTCCTGTGGGACTCTCCAGGCTAGATCTGTCACACGCAGTTGGTTTTATTTCTTGCATTCTCAGTCTCTTCATTCTCGGTTTCTGCCCTTGATCCTTGTTTTCAAATGGCTGATGTCACCAGGGTGTGAAGAGGACCTTCTTCTTTACTTCACACAAATTCCATACAAGCTTCTTTTCACCTAGGACTTCAACTGCCCCCAGTATGTTTGTGATACCCCCGATTCCCACGTCTCCACTCCAGCTTCTCTCCTGACCTCTGTATCCATCATTCCAAGCCTCTAGGGCCAGTCCCACTTAAGTGTCCTGCAGGCCTACATCATGATGATGCAAAGAACTGGAATACTACCTTTTCCCACTCCAAAACCAGTTGATCCTGTTTGCTTGGTCCACACATACTGCTAGCATCTACCCAACCAGCCGAGCCTGAACACTTTGAGTCATCCCAAGGATTCCCCTTTTACCACTCTCCCTGCCCCAGGCCAGCTCTGAATTTATTAACTGAGCCCTTTTGTTTATATTGTTGTTTGTTTTTGAGAGAGGGCCTCACATCTCTCAAGTTGGTCCTGAATTTGCTAAGCAACTGAGGATGACCTGGACCTCCTGAGTGCTGAGATTACTCAGCTGGTGGTGCTGTAGCTCTTACTCAGGGCTTCATGCACAGTAGGCAAGTACTCTGCCAACTAAACTACACCCCTCGCCCTAGTTTATCTCTTGACACTCTCCTCTATAACCTGCCCTATGACCAGTTCAGCCTCACTTTTTGACATTCCTCTGCATGGAGCCACCGAAGTTTTATGAATGTACTGTACATTCTTCCCCACCTCGCTGCTCTCACACTTCCCCAGCTTCCCCAGGAGACAGCTCCACCTCCCACTTACCTACCTCTTGTAAACACAACTCAGGCACTAATGACCTCCTTGGGGGAGCCTTCCTAGTCACCTTCCCCAAGGTGTGTCAGCTGCTGTCCTAAGGTCGCTTAGAAAAACGATCCTGTTTATCTCTTGTTTACTTGTGTGTATCCTCTGCTAGACAATGAGGTCCCCTTGGACTGGGAATAAATGGCATCTATCTTCAGCACTTGGCATAAAGACTAACATAGCTGATCTGTGGATATGTAGAGGAAAGTCAACAATGTGGTGGTTTTTATGTAGCTGCTAGGTCTTACCCAGCCTGCAACCACCCTGGAGTATTGGAAGACTAGAGGACATCACTCTCTCCAACTCCTCTACCCTTCTACCAACAATGTACCCAAAGATAGAGAATTCTACACTGCTAACCAGATCCCATCTCTCCCTATATGGAGCAGACACCTTTTAATTCCCAGTCCTCTGTGTCTCCCTAGAATCTCAAGTTATTCTTAGCCTTGGCTTTTCCCTAGAACACCAGAGGCTAAGCCTTAACCCCAACTAGGTACTGCCTCTTGGGTGCCTAGGCAGCACACTCAACTTAATATGACTGGTTTCAGATTCTCAACTGTCTTTGTCTCTCAAGCCTGCTCTTCATTCAATCTTCAAAATTTATTATTATTATTATTATTATTATTATTATTATTATTATTATTAATTATTTGGAGACAAGGTCTTTCTAGGTAGTCGTGGCTATCCTTGAACTCTCTATATATGCCAGGCTAGTCTCAAACTCACAGAGATCTGCCTGCCTCCACCCCCCAAGTGCTGGGACTAAAGGTGTGTGCCACCATGTCCAACTCTATATTTTTTCAAAAGGGCAGTGCCAACAACATGCATCCAGTACTCAAGTAGCTCAGTTGGTAGGGTGTTTGCGTAGTACACAGGAAGCCCTGGCTTCCATATCTAGCACCAGAAAAAAATAGGTGCATACCTATAATCCCAGCACCCAGGATAGAGGTTGTCCTTGGCTACATAGTTAGCTCAAGGCTGGCCTGGGCTACATGGGACTCTGTACCAAAAAACAAACAAAACAAAACAAAACCAACAAAGCAGCCTGGGAAAAACATGGCAGTGATTTCCAGCCTGATGCTCTGCTGTTTGGATCTAAGCCATTAGCACGAATTATTGGCTTCACAGCTGAAGAATATACATTATCCAGCCATTTACTCTCATCACCATGGTCACCACCCTCCAAACCTCCTCTACTCAGCTTGATGGCTGTCTTCTGGCTGGTCTCCTGCTTCCCACCCAGCAGCCCACGTCAACTAGCTCAAACTTAACACATTTAGGCTTCTCCAACACTTCCTATTCCAGTCAACCAAAGTCCTGGGCCCTCTCACTGAACTTCAATAATGTGAGGAGACTACTTTCTGCTACTTCTCTGAATTTGCCTGCCATTTGCCCTTTTGCATAGACTTCTTTGCTGATCCCTCCACCTTGAATGCTCTTCCCTCTAGGTATACACTTATTTCATCCCCTTACAAAGTTTAGATTTTCACTCAAATACCACCTAATCAGGCAGGGCTTCTCTAACCCTCCTGTTAAAAAGATGAAAACACCCCAATCTCTTTGTGCATTTTTAAAAAATTGTATTACACTTTATTCTTTTTACATACACATATGGGTATGTGAGTAGCACATAGCATGTGTGAGAGGTCAGAGCTCAACTTTTGGGAATTAGCGGTCTCCTTCCACCATGGGGTCCCAGGGATGGAAACTGGATCATCAGCTTGGGCAACAAGCACCTTTACTGGCTGAACCATCCCAACAGTGCCCCCTTCCACCCATCCTTAATCTTCATATTGTATATGTTGTATTCCTTTGTTTATTCATGTACTGAATCTCCCCTATCCACTACCTTCTATGCTCTAGTATGGAAGGCTCTTGGTCCCCATGTACACATTCCCCCAAGTGTTTGGCAGTCATCCTGGCTCCAAGCTACTTACCAGCCTGGAGTTATAGATGGGTGGCTTGATGGGTGTGGCTACAGGGCAGTTGATTCGCTTCTCCTTTTGCCGTCTATTGCAGAACCAGACCCTTACCACCTCTTTTTCCATGGACAACTGTTCTGCGATCATGGAGATCTCTTCTGAGCTGGGTTTAGGGTTCTACAGGGATGGAGGGATAGGGTGAGGTCAGGAGACAGAAACAGGTCAGAAACTGGAGGTGAGGGTCAGATGTTCCAAACGCGAAGAATTGAATGTATGAGTCAAATGCCTTAGAGTCAGATCAAGGGTGGAATACTGATTTTATCACCTATGTTCTGAGTGTCCTTGGGAATTCCCTTTACCTCTGAGCCCCAGCCTTTCCATGTATGGAGTCAGACTACCTGCCTAGCACATAGGACTATGGCAAGGGTTACTAGAGAAAGCGTGTGTACACCTCAAGTGCAGGGCTAGAGTAGATGACAGGACACAAAAGTTTGGTCCTTTCCTGAACTCCTTCCCTTGGAAGTAGTTCCACTGCAAGGTCTCCACACGTGAATTATGGAGGGCAGGTGGACTCCTCGGGAAAAATACTCCCCTCTGAGTCCTTCCTCATAACCTTGCCCCTCACATCTCTTTTTAGAAAATGAGCAGGCTGGAACATTCAGGCCTACCAAGTCTGCGGGAGAGCTGCAGGCAATATGATATCATCACTCTGTCCCGCTAACCTGCCAACCCAGCTTGTGGCTTAAGCCCCCTTTTCCTTATACTTGCACCTCCTTTAACAATACTATTCTAAAAAACCTGAAATGTTGGTAACTCTAGTCCAGTCATCCTGCAGCCATGAGGTCGCTGAGCCAGACTCAGTGAGGGATCTGCTCCAGAACAGCAGTCCTAGCAGCCAGGACCTACAAGGCTGGACTGAGTAGTTTTCAGTATCCAGGGAAGCTCTAGGAGCTGCTACCCAAGGGATCCCTATAGACGCTCTCTGTAGTCATCAGTATCTCCCTCTTCTCACCACCACCCCCAGCTCCCACGAGGCTCACACCTTTCACATATTGCCTCAAGAATATGCTTTTGCTATCCTTGAGAATGCTTGCTTAAAATCTATGGTTAGAATATCGAATTTAGAACATGGAAAGATCTGAAAACTTTTAATTAAAAATATGTGAATGTAAGAAATAAATGTGCATGAAAAGTAACATCAGCAACATCTTTCAGAAGGTATTGAAAGCTGAGTGGGGCATGCCCATAATGCTAACATTTGGGGGTGGCCGCAAGGAAGATTGCCATGAGATTGAGGTCAGCCTGGGTTGTATAGTGTTATATACAGGTTAGCCTGGGTAAGCTCCAGTGTGAGACCATATCTTTAAAAAGCAAAGACAAGACAGACAGACAAGAGGCAAAACAAAAACAAAAGGTAATGGCCTGTCTTTCTACTTTCTTCCTGTGTTTTCCAATTTGTTGATAATGTACACTTGCTTATTATTTGTTAAGTTAAAAATCTTCTTTAAAATGTTAGTGTTTATTTACTTGGGAGTAGAGGCATATACTATGGCAAAGGTGGGTGGAGGTCAAAGGGCAACTTGGAGGAACTGGTACTCTCCTTTTACCATGTGGATTCTAGGGGCTGAACTCAGGTCATCAGGCTTGGCTACAAGTACCTTTTCTTTCACTAAGCCATCTTGCCAGCCCTTTATTATACTTTTAAGATGAAAAGCAAAATTTGCTTCAAAAGAGATGGCTTTCTCCTGTCCCCTCAAATGTATATAGAAACATGAGCCCTACTGGGATGACCTGCTCATTCTTGGAACTTACAGTGAGAGGGTCAATGAGCCCCAAATACATGTCAGAGAAAGAGGAAAAGAGTTTTCTGCAACTCTGGAAGAAAATCAACATTTCTGGGCTCCTAGAGTAGAAGGGTGAGTTGGCTTCCTCCCATACAGGTGGGGTGTGGTGGAGTTGTGCTCAGATCTTGCACTGATCCCAGCTTCCTGCACATGTGGGACCCGATCACCCACCTGCACAAGCTGGCTCACCCACTCCCACCAGAGGAGACTACTCACATCTTGAAATCGCTTCTCCAGTGTCAGGCGGATGTTGGTCTCGATGCTGGTCCTTTTCTTCCTCTTCCTGCCAAATACTTCATTGAGGGTGGGGTAGGGGCTGGGAGTGTTTGCTGAAGGGTCTGATGGGGAAGATTCTGGAGAGAGGAGCAAATGTATCTCAGAAATGGAGATGTGTGGCTGGTCCAGCCTGCTAGAGTAAACTCAAGGTTCATCAGCCCTTCCCATGGACCCGCAGTGGTCTACTCAAAATTAGCCCTGAGCCCATCAGAGAATCCAGAACAGATCAAGTACTGCTTCTCCAGGATGCTTTGGGCAAATGTCCCCCAGGGCTCATATAACAGTCTCCAGGTGTTTACAGTCATGGATTGGGGATGCCCATCAGTGGCCCGTGTAGAAATCAGGGAGAAGGTATAACTATATATAAGTCACACAGTCTGAACTGTTTTAAAAGTTATGCCCATCTGTGAACACTGAGTGAAATGGGTAACTCTGGCAGGTGGGAACCCATGCTAGTTCTGAAGACATTTGTCCTCGAGTGAAAGATGAGAGTCACAGCTGCAGGATGGGGAGAAGTCATACTAACAATAACCCTGAAAACTCTTTCCCAAAGATTCTAAGAGCTTCCATAATATCTTCTATTTGGATGTTTCAGTAAAAGTTGTCTCAGGGGCATTATAATGAGGAGGATTCCAGAACATTCTTCTGAGTAAGAGGACTTCCTTAAAGGGAACCACCCTGGCCACCTAAGCTGCCCATCCTGTCTTTACCACTGGGGTAGTAATCAATAACATACACTCCTATTTAACAGAGCCTAGCCCTGGAGAGGGGCTTGTTCCTTTCCTCTCCACATGGGCCAGGACATCTCAACCGGGGCCACCCTGCACCACATACTTCCCTGGGCACACTTGGCAATGTCTGGAGACATTCTGAGAGGTGTCGAGGCAGGTGCTACTATCAGTGAGCAGGCAGACATTCAGACTGCTCACCTCCAATGACTAGTCAACCCCCAAGGGCAATTTCACTTGGTCCAAATGTCAGGATCCCTGTCTTTCACCTTTTTTAATGCCAAGTTCTGGTCATCATTCCAAATGTCCTGTCCCTTTTCTTATCCCCTTGACTTCCTGGCAGGCCTGGTTCCTGATAGGGTCCACTTCCTCATCACCCTTCCTACTGACAGGCTTTTCTGGCCAGTCCTATCATAGCAATTGCCTCCAGAATAGTCAAGTAAAGGCCTGGAGCTGGGTCTGGCTCTCCTTGCCTTAGTGTGACCCTACATCTTCTGATCCAGGCTGATCCCATGCGACAATGTGAGTAAGTGGATCAAACTTAGCCCCTAAGCAGCTGTCTTGAAATATACGGTAGGTAGCTCTGGGGCAAGGGATAGAAAGAATGGAATGGAATGGAATGGAATGGAATGGAATGGAATGGAATGGAATGGAATAGAATAGAATAGAATAGAATAGAATAGAATAGAATAGAATAGAATAGAATAGAAACAAGTAATCCTGCCACAGATGAGCCATATCTGCCAAAGAGCTCCCTCACTAATAAAAATGAAATTTTCATCTCTGCTTACCATCCTCCTGGATCTTACTTCTTGGTTCATGCCAGGCTCAAAAGGGAAATCAAGGGATCCTATGCCTTGACCTGGTCAAGCCCCATCACACACATGCCTCTGGAATTACCCCCATGGAGTATTCTGGGGCCCCTTCCATGCTCTTGCCTCATTTCTCTGACACCTACCTGCATCATTCAGCCACTTCTCCAGCAGTGGCTTGAGTTTACACATGTTCTTGAAGCTCAGATTCAGGGCCTCAAATCGTGAGATGGTGGTCTGGCTAAAGTCATTGCCGTACAGCTTCCCCATTGCCAATCCCACATCTCCCTGCAAGACGTATTGGGAGAGAGGAAGGTGAGAGACAAATGTCTATTTTTTGTCTGTGTCCTCTACTGCGCTAAAGCTATCACATAGGCAGAGCCCTGAGCATCTTCTCAGGTCATTTTCTTCTAGGATACAAAACCGGCTTGTCTCTCTCCTTATACTATGAATGGTACATGCCCTTACTTGGCTTTCTTCCCTGTCTCCACCAGCAATGCCCTCACTTTCCTTTCCCATTAGCGCTCTGTGCTGTATCATCAGGGAACAGAATGCAGTACACTTGCCCCAACTGGTGTCAGGATGCTCCTAGAAGTGCATTTGGGAGGACCCAGTCACTATCCTGCAACCTACTTCTTCCATCTGCTGCCCCCAAAGCAAACCTGTGTGAAGCCCAGCTTAATGCGCCTCTGCTTGAAGGTCTTGGCAAACTTCTCCAACTCCTCTAGGTCGCTGGGCTCATCGGTCCCTCCCGGTAGGTGTTTGGGCACTGGCAGATGTTGAGGTGCTTCCAGATGGGGATCTAAAGAGGATCCGGACAGCCCAGGGCGCCCAACTGCCTGGTGAGGAACACAAGCTAAAGTGAGCCACAGTTTCACCAGGCCAAGCAGAGGTATTTGTTAGTAATAGTTCACTTAGAGGGGGACAGGTCCTGGAGTTGACTGAGCCCTATTGTTGCCATAGAGATTAGAATTTCTATGAATCCAGAACCAAACTGGATAACCTGGGTAGGAAGAGAAAGAACCAGGACAAGGAGGTGGCCTCTTTGGGTTTTGGTCTGTGATTCACTGACTCAGAGTAGGTGACTTCCTCTTGTCAGCTTTCCACCATAAAAGGAGCTGGCAGTGTTGTTTACTACGAGATCTGAGATCTCAGTGTGGGATAAACTTCAGCACAGGACAAGGAAAAGGTTATTTGCCTGTTCTTTTCCACAGAGCAAGGCGATGGAGGCACACACAACAGTCACGGACTGTAGATAATAGGAGACGTCTGGAAATTCAAGATATTAGTAATGGGTGTCACTTTCCTTCCTATGCCAGTTTTCTTTATGAGAATGTTGTGGGTTTATAGTATGTATCCATTTTTTTTTCTTTCTTTTTTTTTTTTTTTTGAGAAAAAGCTCTTGCCATAACGCCCAGTTTGGCTAGTTCTCACAATCCTCTTACCTCAGCCTCTGCAGTGCCAGGTTTACAGATATACACTACCATTCCTAGAGAGTTACAGTTCTAATCAAAGGTGGTTTTGAAAGATTTGTTTTTATTTTATATGTCTGGGTGGTTTTGCATGTATGTATGTATGTATGTATGTATGTATGTGTACCCATAGCCTGTGGAAGCAAGCAGGGTGTTTGACCCTCTGGAATAAGAGTTACAGATGCATGTGAGCCACCATGTGAGTTCTGGGAATGAGTATACTGCTGAGCCATCTCTCCAGCTCCAAGCAAAAGCTTTCTGTTTATTTGTTTTAACTACCACTATCTTAACACACTTTGTCAGAAGACATATCATCCTTAGTCTGCTTTCATAGGAGAATCTACCATCTAATTTAGAGCCTGCTGCATTCACAAGAGATTGAGAATATGTCTAGTCTTGAAATACCTATTTTTTAAAAAAGACTTATTTGTATGTACAGGTATTTTGTCTGCATGTATGTAAATGTTCCACATATATGCCTGGTACCGTTAGATGCCAGAAGAGGGAGTCCCCAGTTCTGATCCCCTTGAACTGGAGATTTTACAGATGGTTGTGAGCTGACATGTGGTGCTGGGAACTGAACCTAGGCCCTCTGCAAGAACAGCAAGTACTCTTAACCCTTCGGCCACTGTTCCAGGCCCTTGATATATCTATTATTTCACTAAGATCATGAGGGCCAGACACTGTCCAGCACAGAAACTACTCACTGCCTTTGAGGACAATGAGCAGAAAGCCCCTGTCTGTCCTTCCTGGCTTGCTTTTTTCCTTTGAAGAATTTCACTCCTCTCTCCTGTTCTGATTTCCCAGACACAGGCATCCTTATGAGAAGGAGGATCAAGGAGACAGAGTCTTCTAGGTCAGAGTGTCTAGAAAAATCACAGATACATCCTGTTTTCAGGAGACGAGGATTGGAGTAGAGGGAGGCAGCCCAGACTAGATTCCCAGAGCAAAGTTGTAATCACCCTTGAACTTTCCTTTTTGTAAATTCACTTGATATTGCATTTGACAAACACATTGAGCTACATGTTCACCTCCTCCTCTACATCCCATCGATTACCTGATTGCATCAGTTTGATGTCCAAGAGTTCATTCATTTATCCCTCTCTGCTCTTGTTTCTGTGACTGTTGGTCAGTCATACTCTAGGAGGACCTTTCTACTTCTCTATTTCTAGACTGGGTCTCTTTGTGTTACCAAGACTGGTCTTCAACAAGTAATTTCTCTTGCCTTAGCCTCCCTTGTATCCAGGACTACAGACAGACACCATGGCACCCCAAGTTGGTCCCGGGTATGCTCTAGGACCTCAAGGTTTATAACTATGCCATGCTTTGGATGAAGCCCAAAGGAAGAAAATAGCAGCTTAGCTGTTCCCATTTCTTTCAACCACTAGGTGGCAGTCCTCTTCTAGCTATTTTTGTGGATATCAGGCCTGTGATAAGCCAGGGTCCTTAGTGAGCCTTGGGGATCCTAGCCCAGGAGAAGGAATATTACAAATCTCTGTGGTCATTTCCAATCATCCCTCGTAGGAAGAAACCATGCATCTGTGCAGGTTATTGACATCTCAAGGACACCCTGGCAGGAGGCTGGTAAGAAACAGACTTTTATTTCCTAATTGACAAACAGGTGCTCTGCATGTGCTCCAAAATGGTCTGCACAGGACTCTCCTGCTAAACATCAGCCTGCTTGTCCCCAACATATGCCATTGCAGGACTTAGTCAGATGTAGTGGTTCTGAGGAGAGATGCTGGCTTTGATGCCTTCTTGGGGCTTGAGGACATCTGGGTACAACTTTGGGTAGGAGTAGCTTAGCATCTTGAGTAGCTGGATAAGTTCTTAAGAGGGTGAAGCAGAACCTGACAGGACTGGAGTTGTGTGCCCACAGCAAACATTGGGCCAGCCAAAGAGTCACATTTTAGTGACAAGGCAAACTACCTCCTTAGGAGTAGCTTGGGGTTTTCCCAGAGGCAAACAAAGAGAGCCCCTGAGGAGCAAGTGTCCTGCTAAAGAGGCAAGAGGTCTGAGGAGCTGAGGTTTGCCCAGGGCTGGAACAGTCTATGAAGAAACAGGAGGAGGGGGTTAGCAGTTACCTGGGAGGCCAGGCCAGGCCCTGTCTGTGGGAGGAGTAGTGTGCCTTGCTGCTGTGGAAAGGAGAGAAGATTCGGCTGCAGACCTGAGTGACAGGGGAGGGACAAAGGAACAAACAAACAAACAAAACAAAACAAAACAAAATCCAGGCCATTTGAAAGACAAGCTGGACATTGAAACCATGCTAACTGCCCCCTCCTGCTGCTCACCCAATCGGGTCCCACAACCCACCTTAAGCCTGGTTGAAAGGCCCTGTGGGCACTGCCAGGAATTGCCACACACAGGTGGAGGCCAACCAGACTCAGGGATAAACAGATGTAAACAGCAGTCCCCAAACCTGTCCTGCCTGCCTGCCTGCCTACCTGCCTGGAGAGCTGCAAAGGCATAGGAGGGGTCAAGACACTCTACCTGGAATCTGATTAGCAGGGTGAGAAGCCCAGAGGGACAAGGACACACAGGAATGACTACAGACCCCAGGGGGAGGAGAATATTTCAATCTGCCTGTGAGGGAAAGCAGCTGGGCTGTTTAGGCCCTCCCGCTAGATCTGTAAAGTAAAAGCAAGCAGATGATGCCATATCATTGCTCAGAAGGGCACTGGGACATTGGTCAGAGGCTCCTGGAGACCAGGTCATTAAATTCATTGGAGGGAGACCCTGATGGCAAAGGGAAGGCCAGATGTTGGAGCCTTCAACATCTTTTGGGTGGTGGAGATTCTATTTCCATGTTACTTAGGGACCTCCCTCTCCCTCCATTTTCAGGAAAAATGCCAAGAAAAGGCTCTGCCTGTGTTGTGTGATGACTGTGATCAGTAGCTCCCATCTTCAGATGGCCAGAGTCAGCACTTCTTACTCCTAGCAGGAAGAGAGTCCTCAAACCAGCAAGACTGCCAACGGGAGCAAACCATCTCTGTCACTTGGCATAGAGAAGCTCCTTGGCACATCTGCTGTCCCCAGGCAGTTCTGGGTTACTGATGTACCATATTTGCTAAAGCTGACCTTTTTGCTCAAAAAGTCAAAAGGTAAGAGAGGTCTTAGAGGAACCCTGGCCTAAGAATGAAGAGGCTTGAGGATTAATTTTGCTTACACTATGTTCTGTGCAATGAACAGAGGCTTGTCACATGAACAAACCAAGTACCTATCAATAACCTTGTGATTCAGAGCTTTACGGTATACTTATAGAAGAGGAAACAAACTTGTAGAGATTACACAAGTTTTCTAAAGAAACACAGCCACTATTTTTTTCTTTTATTAAAAAACTTATTTTATTTATTATGTATACAGTATTCTGCTTGCATGTATGCCTGCAAGCCAGAAGAGGATGCCAGATCTCATTACAGATGGTTGTGAGCCACCATGTGGTTGCTGGGAATTGAACTCAGGACCTCTGGAAGAGCAGCCAATGCTCTTAAAGCACTGAACCATCTCTCCAGTCCCCAGTATTTTACTTTCTTAAAGAATTTCTCTGACTTCAAAATTTAGCCTGTTTTTCTGTCCCCTCCATCCAATAATATGCCAACACTTGTGCATTCTATGGGCTATGTTCACATCACTTGGAGTCTTCCAGAAATGAACTGAACCAATGCTTGTCTTCTCTATCCTAATCCAGGAGTATGATGGGTGCTAGTTAGCCAGAATAAACACTCAGATGTGTTTCCATCCATCCTAGTGCTATTCTGAGACACATTGCAAGCTAAGCATGGGGCCCATGTCTTAAGCAGGTACCTGTAGTGGGGGTACACCTACCTGAACTTCCAAACTCTCCTCTAGAGTATGAGCTATGGAGAGCTCATACTTTCAATAACATTTTTAGCCCTGCTTGGCAGAGATGAATGGAAAGACATGCAGTACATAGTGATCATCTAGAACATAGACCTTAGACTATTCTGGAACTTTCTAGTAGGTCACCAGCATTCAATAGGGCTATCTATAGCACAAGTTTACTCTGAGGAATAAGCCAGGAAAACAACTCAACAGACTCCCAGGCATGTTAAGCAATGATACTTAGTGTTATTAATGCTCTGATGTGTTTGCTCAAGGCTTGGGAGTAATTTCCCTGCCAAAGACAACCAGACCTATTTTCTACAGCCTGTGGGAGGCACTGCTGTTCCATCCAGACAGAATCATAGCCAAAGGGAGGGAAAAGGCTCAATGAAAGCCAGCCTTCCAAAGAATCCCAGGGAGCTTCTGCTTCCTTGTGTCACCTCCAGCCCCGTGCCCACCAGTCCTAGCCTTTAGACAGTTCCTAAGAAAATGAGGTCCCAGCAAGAGCCAGGGTAGGAAGGAGAAACAGGGAAGATGTAATCTGGAGTCCCCATGCCCCCGCCCCTCCCCCCAGACCCCTTCCTAGGTCCCAGGTAGAAAAGCTGATCTTTTTCAGACAGGATTTCATATAGCCTGGGCTGACTCCAACTTGCTGTGTAGCCAAGGATCAGCCTCCTGTCCCTACTTACATGTGCACTGGGATTAAAGTTGTCACTGTGTCTGGTTTTATATACTGCTGGGGATCAAACCCAGAGCATCCTGCATGCTAGGCAAGCTTTCTATCAGCTGAGAGCTATTCCCAGCCCCTGGAGGAGTGAGCAACTTCTCTGCCCACCCCCAACACCATGCCCAGTAAGCAGCAACAGCCTTTTCTAGACTCAGGCAATGACTGCACAAAGCCCAGGGTGCTTACCTTGCTGCCCAGGTGGGGTCTGGGAAAGCAGAAACTGGGATACCGACTGTAAGTGGCCAGGGACCAGCACAAGCTGTTGGAGTGGATGGAGAGAAGCCATGTCCTACAGGTGGGGAGAGGAACAGATGTTACACAACCTACAGCCTACAGCCAGGGGACCTGAAGCCTACTGACCTATAGCCCTGGGATTGCAAACTCTGGGAAGTTGTGGGCAGTGTCCTTGTTCCATGTTGCCATGTGTCCCCAACACATGGAGCACAGTAGCTAGCCTATTTAATGTTGTTGTTGCTCCTGCAATCCACCAAGCAGTCCCTGAAGCATAGTTACTTAACTCTGTTCTTATGCTTTCATTTGTCTGTGTCCTGACTCCCAGTTGTAGATGTCGTGAGGACCAGAAGTAAGTGGGTATTACCCATGTGGCAGAGGCTTATCCTAGAAGTGGCAGCAATACCAACTGTCCATCTTCTTAAACTATCATGTCACTTGAATATGCTCAAAACCACTCTTTAATTATTTCCTGTACCTGAGTCTTTCTAGAAGGCACTAGGGAATGGGGCAAAACTATTAGTTATTTATGTTGTTATTTTATTTGAGGCTAGGTCTCACTCTAGCAAGGAGTGCTGCAAACTCACTGTGCAGCCCAGGGGGTCCCTGAATTTGTAGAATCCCTCCCACTTCTGCTTGGCAAGCACTGGGGTTACAGGCATACACCACCATGCCTAGCTTTGTTGTTGTTTTGTTTTGAGGCAGGATCTCTTATTATGCAATTCTAGCTGGCCTGGAGCTTTCCATATAGTTCAGGCTAGCACTGAATTCGCATAGATCCATCTGCCTCTGCCTCCTAAGTACTGGGATTAAAGGCATGCACCACCAAGCTCTGCCCTAGGCTACTTTTTTTTTCTTTCTTTTTTTTTTTTTTTTTAATTAAACAGAAAGTCATTCACTCTTGAGTTTCTCTCACCACCTCAAGATATAGAAATGGTGATTCCAGCATCTGGGGGGCTCCAGACCCCATGACCAGGGGCCTATGCATACACACTTGACAAACTTCATTAAATGAAGGAAGTGTCATATGCCAGTCACAAGAATGGCTCGGAAGATAGATCTTTCTTCCCCCAGTGAACTACATACAAGATCCCCTGGAGGCTTCTACCCTACCTGCCGAGGCTCACTGCTGTGCAGACTCCAGCTAGCCCTTCTCTCCTGTTTGGTTTTGTCATATAATCTTAAAGGAGGCAGAGTGCCCCCTGCAGTCATAGAGGATCTGCCACTGCTTATCCAATGTCCATCACCGGAGGCCCTCAGTGTTGCACTAGCAGCACAGCTATTGGATCCTTTGTTTTTGTCAAAACTGGCTTTTGGTACTATGAAAGCAGTGACATGCCCCTCTGTGTCCCTCACCAGGCCTCACTTCGGTAAGGACTGTTTTTGAAAACCCCACAAACCCACTTCCAGGCCTCCTTTGCTTGCAATGGGGACTCCTTGGATGAATTCACAGCATGCCAAGTATAGAGAGCCAGCATTTTGTCGAGGGGCTGGAACAGACTCACCAACCTAGTAAGCACAGCAGTGTCCGTGGCATGGGCTGGCACCTACCCCAGACATTTGGTTTCCAGGCATCATGGTAGGCCCTTGGCTCAGGTGGCATGGCCTGTGGGAAAGGGTCTGCTGTAGAGAGTCACCCAGATCCTCTGTCTTAATCTGAAATAGAGGTGGAAGGAAAAGGTGAGTGCTGGAACTCACCAGCAGACAGAAACAGAACTGTGAAGACTAGAGCAGGAGATGAGTGACAAGTCTGGAGAGGAAGGGGGTAGCCCTGGGCTGAAGGGATGGATGGGTCCCAAGAAGACTCTACAGGACCAGTCTGCCAGGTAGATCAGTGTACCACCACCACCACCCTGCTGGTGTTGTGCCAACACACAGTACTTTTCCTCCTTGGAATGAATGAGAAAAACCAGGATAGCATAGTGACTTCTAGAAAGAAAAAGGAACTTAGGTCTGTTCACCCTTTAGATATGATGATCTTTAGTGGGTAAAGCACTTGCTACCAAGCCTGATGACCTGACCTCCATATGTATGCCATGACACATGCACACACACACACACACACACACACACACACACACACACACACACACACAATCTCTCTCTCTCTCTGAATGTAAAATTTTCTAACAAGAAAACTAAGGCGGGAATGGTGGTGTGTTCCTGAGATGCCAGGGCTTAGGAGGCTGAGGCAGGAGGCCTACCATGAGTTTAAGGCCAGTCTTAGCTACATAGTGAGTTTCGGAGCTTATAAGTTTTGGGGCTGAGAAGACGGCTCAATGGTTAAGAACACTGACTGCCCTTCCAAAGGACCTGGGTTCAATCCCAGCATCCACATGGCAGCTCACATCTGTCTGTAACTCCAAGACCTGACACCCTCACACAGACATACACGTAGGAGATAGACTTAATTAAAAGAATTGTTGCCTTGAGGAGATATAAATACAGTCTGTCCTCTCCTTATAAGGCTCCAAGGACAAACCAAAGCATGATTCCACCAAAGTGTACTCTGGGAACTCAGTGAGTTTTTTAGGCTCACTTACAGAGTATGAGAAGGGGCATATACAGGAGCATTGGGGGACCCCAGAGCAGTGATATTGGAAAGTCTACCCAGCAACAATGATGGCTTCCTCACCTCTGCATAGAGTATTGTCTGTGGTCTGTACACACACAATAGGGCCAGAAATACATACAACAAACAGGCCAGAAGTTACAGAGGGCATGACAGGAATCTCAGGTGAGGGTCTAATGACCCTCCTCAACCCCTCCTATGTGGGTCTCCTAGAAACAGTCTCAGTTGTTCTGATGACAACAATGGCTGCTGTGATTGAAGGATAGCTCAGAGGATATCGTGACCCTGTTACAAACAAACACACACTACAAAAACAAAACAACACAAAACTCAAACCAGAAAATAAACTGCAATGGCCATGTGTGTAGTTCATGCACTGTGATCACAGCCATTGGAAGGGTTAGGCTGGAGGATCATATTCGAACTCAGCCTGGGTATACACCAAACCTAACAAACAAACGAAAAAATAAAAGCTTACTAGAGTAAATGTTTGCAAATTCTTTGCTTTTCCTCCACACTGGGGTATCAGAATTTCCTTAGAGAGGGCTATGATTCTCAATGGTATCTTTAAAACTCCCTACCTCAAAAGAGCAAAAACATGACATCCTTTAATTGAGCTCCAAAGTGTGCTCTTTACTTCTCTATATTGATTCCCATCTCTGAAACCCGGAAGCCTTGAAACTGTAGGCCAGGGGACTCCCTCCCTTCATCCTTCTTTCTACTTTCTCCATGCAAAGCTGCATCTGCTGAGGCCCTCTGGGTCCTCATGGTTTTGGTGACAGGGTGGCAATCTCCCTACAAGCAGTGACCTTTGGTGGCTTCCAGTTCTTTTCAGTTTTTACTACCCTCCCATGTCACAAGAACCACCTACTCCTGAGTTTCCCAGGAATCCCTGAGGAAGGCAGGAAGTACCGCTTGTGCCCATCCCTCCTCTACTCTTGAACAATTATTCTAGCAAAATTTCAGGAAGTCCATTGGGAGGGGAGCCAAGTGACTTTGAGTACATACAATATATCGAGGAATGCAGAATCCACACCACCCCTCAAGAAAGACTTTGATAGGACCTTCTAAAATAGACCAGCTGGTTATTCTCACCACAGATAAAACTCTGAACCAAACAGATGCTGGCTTAAACCATTGTCTTGGTCTACACTGGCAGTATGACCAACCCAAGCAAAAAGTTGAGAGTATAAGCTTGATAAATGGTGTATGCTGCTGCTAGAGAATGAGGAAGGAGGATCTCCAGTATAAGGACTGCCTAGGCCACTTAGGAGACCCTGCCTCAAAACAAACAAGAACAAAAGACAGATAAATAATTGTATGAGCTGGGATTAACATCTGAGCCTTCACTGAATCCCTATGGAAAATGGATTTTGATCACTAAGGAAGGCATTCTCATTGGCTGACAGGAAGGGGCTAAATAGTGGGAATCTGAAGTTTGATTGATTGATTGATTGATTAGAAGACAATTACAGGGCTGGAGGGATAACTCAGTGGTTAAGAGCACTTGATGCTCTTCCAGATGTCCAGCATCTACATCCAGGGGCTCACAGTAGCCTATAACTCCAGTTACAGGGGACCCGGTGCCGCCTTCTGGCCTGCAAAGACACTTGCATGCATACGTATACACATATGCATCAATAAGCGAATCTTTAAAAATAAACACATCTACTGTTTAAAATAAGGTAAAACCTACTCTGTAGAGCAGATGAGGCAGTGAGGAAAACCCCGAACACTGAGCAGGGTGGATGCTGTTTCTCATCTGAACCCTGTCTGACTCTAACTTCCTATGTGATCTTGAGTGATAGGAGACTTGGTTTCCCCATCTGCTACATGCTCCTATTTTTTCTCCCTCCCAACCCTAGTCACATACACAGATGGTAGACTCAGTAGTCCACCATGCTGAAGTTCAGAAACCAATTTCAGACTACTGAGACTGCAGAGAAGCCGTTGGCAGACAATTTGGAAAAATCTAGCTTTTCTAAGCATACTTTGCAAACTATCACCCACACACAGCGATCATTCTGGGACCTTGAAGCAAATGGGAGAAAGGAAAAGAAATGGGTTTGTAGCACTATGCAGACAGAGTGATTCCGAGAACTCAAAATTCATGGCATATGGATTGGCCTGCAGAGTTTCCCTCCCTTTGTCCCTTAGCTCTCTCCATCATGCTTGGTACCTCCATCATGATTGGCACCGCCATCTCATTTCCCTCCCTTTGTCCCTTAGCTCTCTCCATCATACTTGGTACCTCCATCTCAGAAAAGCTTCCATCCACAGACCTAAAGAATCGCCATGTTGAGACATTTGATAGCAAGTTTTTAAAAACTACATTATCAATGACTTCTTGCAAACTACCACCATCAAAACAAATTTCAGGCTTCTCTCTCTGAAAGCCCTTTTGGCCAGCCTTCTTGTCATACCTCTCTGTTGTCTGCCATTGCTGGGGAAGCAGATGGAGGATGGGGGCCAGGGAGAAAACATGGAAACCTGGAGGAGAAATCACACTGGTAGAACCACCCCAGGCAGCCTGGCATAGTTCCAGCTCAAAGGCAAGTGGAGGGTTCCTTTCCAGGCTCATTATGCTCGGTAGAGAGAGATAAGCCATGACAGAGCTCGGAAGCATGCGCTTTGCCTCCAACCTGGGCGCTATCTGTTAGGATCGCTGCCAGGTCTTCCTGCAACGCTGAAGTTCAGAAACCAGCACCACCATAAAAGAAAAGGCACCCTTTCATCTGCCTCATAGGCTGATGCCCCACACTCTTCAGGAGGGGGCACTCCCACCTCCCAGTAGAGCAAACAAAATACCTGATGGTGGAAACCTCCTAGGGTGTAGGCTGTGGTTTCTTGGTGACTCTTCTGAGATTAGTTTGTCTCGTTTTGATTCACCAATATTTTTATTCATTCATTTTCCAGCAATTCCTCACCCCTTGGGGGAGAAGTGCTGAGTGCAACTCCCAAAGCAGATAGCCCTAAATGAATGAATAAAAAAGACACAGAAAGCCAAGCATGATGGCACACCTTCAATCCCAACACTCAGGAGGCAGAGACAGGCATATCACTGAGTTCAAGGCCAGTCTGGTCTATACAGAGCAAGTTCCATGACAGCCAGGGTTACAAAGAGAAACCCTTTCTTGAAAAACAAACAAACAGGATATAGGAGCACCTCTTCTATAATCTCAGTTTTGTGCAGCTGTGGTGTGCCTCAGTTTAAAAAAGGAAAATAAAGTTAAAGCTAGATTAGCAGGCATGGGGAAGCTGGTGCACTGCCTCCAGCATGATTTTTTTGGACACTCTCAGGGGCTAAGGAACCTAAGAAATTAATAAATAAAGCCCTCACTAATCCCAAAAAATCCCTTTTCACAGCTGTCAGTGGAAAAGGCTGGAAAATTTCCAGGCAACTGGGTGTTGGCTGTGGGTCTGCGAGATGAGATAGGGACTTCTATTGGATCCCATTGACTTCTAAGATGAGAACCGCAGGCAAATTGGATGAAAACCCAATTTTCCCCATCCTTGTGAAAACTCAACTAAACCCACAGCCTGCTTGAAACCACGAAGATGGTCTCCAGGGTCTCATTGGTAGCTCTGGTTACCTGGGTAAAAGACTTCTCTGGACTCTACCTGGGAAAGCTAACCCCTGAGGACAGGGTCCACCATAGTATGCACTTGCCCTGGCCCAGGCCCAGAACATCCTATCCACCTAGCAGATGAGGTTTGAGAGTATACAATCTCCTCCACCCACGGCTCTCTGCAAAGGTATTGCAATGAGTCTTGGGCAGTGACCAGGGAGGTAAAAAGCTATCATGAGCGATTATCTTTTCTAATCCAAGTGAACTCCCTGACTTTACTACTTTAGAAAGCAGTGAGCCTCCTTCTAGAAGAAAGGTGCTCCTCCTGAAGAGGTAGAAGCCCTCACTGGCCTCACAGGTGTCTTCCTTAGACTGCAGGATGTGGAACCTTCTCTCCCACAGAAGCCCTGAGAGCTTAAGATGTAGATACAAAGATACATAGTCAGATACCCCCTAACCTCAAAGTCATGGTCTCCTAACCCTCCCCACTGCTCCTTATACCAAAAGACACTAGA